GGGTAGAATTAAACCAATTCGACATCAATATAAGTGACAAACTGTAATGTAAATAATGTAAAAAAAAATGTTTCCTACGACTAGCCTGTATCTTTTGAAAATGTGGGTGGCCCAAAACAAGACATTATACTATCCATGAACAAATCTATCATTAACATCTATCATTATCGTTAAACGTTTAAATTGTGAATAGAATGCGGCAGAATTTCTGGAAGAAAGTGAGTAACGCTCCAGGGGTCAACATGCCAATAGAGGTCATTTCTTGGGACTACTTTTTATCACATATTAGTCTAAATACATCCCGTATAAATCATTTTCACACCGAGGCTTGGGTCCAGAGGACAAATTTGGCAAATTTGACATTTTCTAAACAGATGGTCCAAATTAAATTTTTTTTTCTCATTCCCACCGACAGCTAGTTTTGTTTCTAAAGTGTTAGAGCATAAGAGAATATCTCTAGAGGCGCTATTATCTCGAATAGTCGCCAACGAAGTTCAAGAAAGGTTTGGCTGCAGATGAGATCACTGTTTTGCCCTTTGGGAAAATTAATCTTATTGGGTGTTAAAAAATAATATATATTAACTTCAAATGTTGTTTTACTTTTTTAATGAATTTATTTTTTGTTGTTATAGCATGTTCATAAAGTGGACTAGAGTAGATTGAAAATCAGTAAATAAAGATTGATGTAAACCTGAGAAAAGAGACTTTCTCGAGGACAGGTCATTATTGCGTTGACACCACTCCCACAAGTGTCCTTGAGTCTCGTATTTCAAAATACCGTTGATCTCTAACTGCATGTTATTGTGCACCCATTTTGTTATTCGCAGATCAAGGACAAGTTCGTTGGATGCCAAAAAGAGGCTTTCTAGACCTATCGTTTTTATTTTGATTTTAAACATTCTGTTGCATCCTCATCCCCAATTCCCCATCCATAAGGTTACCTGATGACCCAGTGCCGGGGACTCGTGCGTTTCTGTCAGATAAATCCCTTTGTGTAAAACTGTGGGTACCCTTCTTGAATTTCACTCAGAAACTTCACCATGAAGTGGCACAGTTTGTCATGACAAATCAAATGCAATTAAAGGTTTTCCAAAAGGGATAAAAGTTTGAATGGTGAGTGCGTTCACGAAACACTGGACAATTTGCCACACTCAGGATGCAACTATATCAACAGGAGTTAGCTCTTAATCTAATCTTTATTCTGGCATCCACGACATAACAACGCAATTTCCTCTTTGTAATAAGCCGAACTATTCACTCAAATGTTGCTTCATCAAGATGCAGCATTATGGAATTTATAGACAGCACTAACATTATCATGGTAAGTATTAACTAAATCGTTAAATAGCGCGACTACAGAAATGACACTATACAAACTCAGCGGTATACTTATATACGGGAGGCGGAGGAGGGTAGGTTATCGGGTCAACAAAAATCGGCTCCATGCTTATATGGACATGCTTCTGTATATTACATGGAAATTCCAAAACCAAAATTAATCTCCAGCTGTGCAGAAGTTTACTTATGCAATAGACACAGAAATGCAATTTGCTGGTGATGTTCTTGTTTCGCTCTTCCTTTAAGTAGGGGCCTACACATTGCATTTCCTTCTTTGCAAGGCAGGGCTTGAATCAGCACTGTCATTGCCTGTTTATCGAAAAACAGATCTTCGGGTTAAGGGTCACAGTGTGACAGGTACATGTTAGGCCAAGTGCCGAAAGTATGTATGTTTTCCGGGTGTCTGAAAAAACTAACTTGGAGCCTTTTCATTTGTTGCAATTAATGATAAATGTTTAGGCTTTTTCGTCGCACCTACAGGTTATATAATAATGAATTAGCACGAAAAAAAATCACTACCACTCATACAAAACTACAGATCCGTACAATGACAAAAATAAGGCACAACATTAGAGATAAAATATAAAACCCAGATTATATAATAGGCAGTTATTCTAAAATGACTTGAAAAACACACAAAAATTGAGCTGTTTTATGCGGATGTAAAAACTATTACTCTCTACAATGATACATTTCAAATCTTTAATTTGCAAATTCTGCCCTCCCTTCTCCTATTGATCTTAGTTATACGTAACCTCATTAATATACCATGTCAGAACAACATTGATTCACAGTTTATAGATATCAAAGGAAGGGCTGGTCATCATTTCGGCTTATTTATTTGACTTCTTTAAAATATCTGCGGCCTTCAAACTGGAAGCGGGCGGGAACGCTTAACACAAATATTTTTATTCAATTCGCCATTCCCTAAAAACTGAATGGAAAACCCCCAATTGCGCAAGCATACCAGGTTTCACGGAAAGTCATTGTGTGCGAACCCTTCGATCGTTGAACTGGTTGACGAATCTGTTGGCCATTATATATTCAGTGCATTGCAGAGCACGGTGCCTCATGATTTTTAACGGTAAACAAATTAATACATGGACCATGAAGCGTTCTATGTAGCAGAGAAGGTGGCAGAACTTCCCGACAAACAGGTGTTACTTTCCAAAACGTTTCCTATATTGTCAACATAAACTGTTGCTGTTTCCAAACGTTCACAACTATATCTACTTTTAAATAGGATGTTAAACAAAATCGTGATTACATTATGACAAAATGTACAGTCATTAAAATAGTGGCTTAAGTATCTACAATCAGTAAACCATTTTTTACATTCGTAAAAGAGGATCCCGCCAACATTTAATTTGAAGAAAAGCAGATAAAAGGTTGATGGTCGTTACGTATTCTGTGTAAACAAGAGAAATCCTCCAAATCTGCCATTAAAGCCTTTATTCAAGTTGAGTTTCCTCAGCCCCCCCCCTTTTGTTCTAGATAAATGTGTTCTGGATAAATGGGGGGGCTGCCGATGTTTGCAGAAAGTTCACCCTTGCAACATCGCCTCATCCATTCTTTTCTTAATTAATCACGATTAAAACGAAGAGGCATACCTATTTCAGCATTAAGTAGAAGTATTGATAACACGTTTCGAATTTTTCTTATACTCATTACAAGTCTTTGATTTTCTAATCATGGTTGGCAACACCTTTGCCAGTGATGTAGGCAAACAAAATGGGTTGGAGAAGCAGGAAATAAACTGCTATGGAAGAAATTTAAAGACAGCTAAATACCATTCCAAAATAATGTACACCACCAGCATGGTTTTTTTCACGCTTAAACAAATTTTTGCTTAATCAGCTCTAGTATGAAATTGGTTGAATAGGAAACAAGCACCCAACTTCAGAGGCAACCAAGCCCTAGTAATAGCACAAGATGTTTTGGTACACAAAACGCACCTCGTTAGGTTGAGGCTATTTCAAGCCTTTGAACAAGCATGCAAATTCCAAATAAAAGAATCTACATAATGTAGGATGTAATTTAAGGCAAAGCTTTAAGATTTGGTAAGCTTGTTTATCCAAAGCAAAGTAATTGAAGGTATTCCAAACACAAGTGTGATAGAGGAAAAATGACTAAATGAGAAATATACACACCAGGAGATACACAATTTTCTTTTAGGCAGACTATTTTGTACATTGTAAAATGAAGTCCTAAAATAGAAATGCCTTTACTTGTCTTTGAAAGAGCTTTCATAATGTCAATATCGACCATTTCCGTTTCTAAACGTCCGCAAAATACTTTCAAGTTAGAAGTTGAGAATCGGATTTTGAGAAAAATCGTGTTAAATAGATTAGTTTAGGATCAAACAGAAGTTTGCCATTATGTTAGCTTATCTACTAAGCGACCAGGCAATTTGTTAGAAGACTACTGACCCTCAGCGTGACCGTTTTAATAGTGCTGTGATCAGAGCTTTTTTTTCCTGGACTCTTCACAATTGGTAAAATTGTGCGGTTAATATTTACTCCACTGAAAGAGCACGGCCCCTAAAAGAACTTAATTCACAGTTAGCATAACCCTTATGCTCATCCTCAGACTGTTACCTTTTAGGCATGCTCCTCCTCGACATGAAACAGTCCGGCATGTTTAGGCAAAACTCTATTCAAGGCTTTGTTGACGTTCATGCCTTATCAAGTTTTCCATCGAGATCATCCACAATGTCCTTGTGAGTTTCATTTTCCCGACAACATGCTGAAAAATTTGCCGGACTGTTTTACGACGAAGAGGAGCATGCCTAAAAGATAACAGTCTGTAGAGACAACTGGTTCCAAAAAGAATGAGTGCATGTAATGCCTCTGATTTCAAAGTTAACAAACTTCTAGTAATCACCCTTGTAATGATTCTAATTACCACTAATGGTCATTAGGGACACATTCCCATAAGAACGTGCACAAAATTTTCCAACTTTACTGTCCCATAATTCAATATTCCCTAATCTGATCTGAACCAAACTTTGTATGTTTTCATTTTACAACAAAATGTCTCCCAAATGACCTATTTGTAAATATTCTTAAAATTACTAAGATAATTATTGCAAAAAAATCAATGATGGAGAACGGGAAGTAAAACGGTACCAGTACCAACCTACCAGAAACCAATATGTGAAGTCCACCGACTGCACTGAAAAATGCAATAAACAACAACACAAAATTATAATAACGCAGTGAAAAACAATTATGTGGCTCAGGGACCGCAAAAGTGAATCTAATCACCGTTACTCTGAAGCGTGCAGACCACGGTACCAACACACAAACTACCTACGAACAAAGGGCATATACTTTGTAAACTTTGGGAGAAAAGAGAGAGGAACTAGACCTTATCAAAAATCACCTTTGTCTCCTTTTAAGAAAGACTTGAGAGCAAGGCCCCGTTGCTCCCCCAGATCTGTGCCCTTGGATCGAGAGAGTCTATCGCTTATTACCGACATCCTTGTAGTCTGGACTCGGAGGATCAGGAGTCAACCATCGCACTAGACCCCCTGCAGCAAACGCAACACCAGCAGCAAGTAGTGCGACCCCTAGGCTTGTTCCCACAACTCCTGCAGCAATCCCCGTGCCAATACTCGCTGCTACAAGCTCAACACCTTCGTTGGAGTGGGTAACCCTGGCACGAACCACCTTATAGGGATCAGCGAGATTATTCAGGGAGGCCTTCACTTCAGCCGCTGTCGGACGTCTGTGGTGACCCATCAGCAGCATTCTTTCTATCAATGCACGGAACTCTTGGCTTATTTGAAGATTCGGCCTGTCAGAAAGTTTATAACGTTTCAGGTAACCTTCATGTAGAGATTGTCCAAGGCCAATGAACTTCCTCGGAGTGGTACTTTTTGCGAAGTAAAAAGGTACTAACATCTTCGTTTCTGGGAGACACTTTCGTTTCATTAGGCAGACAAATATCTCTGCCATCTGGAATACGTCAGCTTTCTCCGTGTAACGTCCAGTAATCACTTCAGGGGCCAAGAAGTACATATGGCCACATGCAGTTGACATGTAGTAGTCATACAGACTGCCTTTATGTTGAGAGTCTGAAGCGAGTTTGGCCAGGCCGAAGTCGGCAATTTTCAGGGTACCATCGGCTGTCAGTAAAATGTTATCTGGTTTCAAATCACGATGTATGATGCCAAAATGATGCAGAAAGGCCACAGCTGATGCGATGTTCTTCATGAACTGGCTATCTCTGGAAGGTTCTGGGGGGTGTGACAGCAAGAACGTGTTCAGGTCACCGCCTTGGCAGTACTCCATGACCAGGCAGATGCGATGATCACCCAGAACGATGTGTCGAGCGTATTTGATGATGTTATCATGCCTTCTGAGCTGGCAGAGTGCAGTCATTTCAGTTACGGCTGATCTACTAAGGGGTAGGATCTTCAGGGCATACCTTTCAGAAGTTTCTCGCTCTCGGCCGAGGTAAACTACGCCGAAGCCTCCCTCTCCCAGTTTCTTTTTCAAGGAAAACTCGGCCCTCAGCTTGTCAGACATTTTGGAATACGCTTTGTGCAGTCTCGACTGCCCGACCTAACACTTGCTGGCCGCTGTGCCACTGCAGCATAAGATTAAGTTCGATCCGATTAAATTTTCAAACAACCTTTGTGTTTTCAAACAACCAAGCAGACTCATAATGTCTAGTAGTCCATGCTTTCTGCCCGTACGTAGGCCTACCTGCGATTCACGAGCCCGTGGCTGTGCTGTTGTCACGGATGGAACGTCTCTGGGCTTAGGCTCCTACTTCTTGTACACTTGTCATGCTTTCCGCGCCAAGACAAGCTTGAAATTCGACATATTGGCCCTCACATATCTGCAATCTTTCCACACAGTGCTGGACTTTGTGCCGCGACACTTCTGAAAAGGGCATCACCTTGCCAGTAACTGATTAGACGACGTGAATTACACCCCTCAATCCCTTTTTTCATTATCGTCAACTGATCACGGCACAGTTGGATGACGTCATCTTGGATTTTACCATCAAGCTTGCTCCCCGAACGCCACCTTGTAGATCATTGGGTAGGATAGAGACCAGACTACGTTCAACTATTTCGAAACTTTTTAAGTTGTAATTTCTTGTTTTTACTCATTAACGTGAGGGAAATTCCCTACGAACATCCCCGAATCCGTTTTAAGATTTTTTTAACAACTTGTTATGTGACTGTTAGTTGGCGGTCAGAGTTGAGCCAGAGAAATAAAAAAACATAAGGCTTCGTCAAAGTGGCCCACAGTCTATGCGTTTCCATACCCCACGACCCTTGCTCTCCGCTGAACTTGACAACCAGTCATTATATCCCTTTCACCCCAGAAGTGCCCGCTGGGCTCAAAGTGGCATGCGGGTTCCTTACCAACGAGCCATTTTAGCACATGATTTCTGTGGCACTTCGTTACCAATGTTCCTCTCTGACACACAGGCCAAAATGCCAGCAACGGGAATGTAAATAGCGCCCTCTCTCCTTTAACATTGTCTCGAGCGCTCTGATTGGACGAGTATTGAAGACGCGCTTCGCGCGTTCTTATAAAAACCACAAGAGGCGAAACGGCAGCGCCGTCGGACATCGTTGACGAAATTTTAGCAGGTAGCAGCTCCGAAATGTCCTCCAATGAAACTTCGTCCTCATCAGAGGAAAGTGATGAAGAATCAGTGACGAGCACAGCGAAGCCACCGGGCACCCCCAAGACGAACATCAGGTAGGCCTAAGGCACGTACACATGTACAGCCTTGCAACTAGACTCTAGTCTCAGTCATTATCACTGCAATGTATTGCATTTTATAACCACTAGGAGGAGGCTTGCCATATTTTTCCCGATGTCCGAATGTGTCATGAATCCTACTTGCTAATCAGGGAAAAGGAAGGATTCCGATCTTTATTCTTTAAACCCTGAAATGTACTGCGCCGTGTCTCACAGAGTAACTTGTCGTGGGTTTCCAGTAGAATTTAAACATGTTAAAGATCACCCTCAACTAACTGGCATATGGTACGGAAAACATAACACGCTTTCTTTGGCAGAATGCCACTTTGAGAGTGTGAGTGTATACAACCAAACGTACGGTGAATCAAGATTTAGTTTACAGGCAGTGTGTGTGAATAGGTCTTTTAGTCCAACCCAAAACAGGGCAGCCCCATCTATCACCACTTCAATGAACAGCTGAATAACTCCTAGTTTTTTCATGTACAGTGCTTTGATGTTTGGTGTAAACACTTTGTAAGTATTGTTCTTATTAGTCCAAATATTATTTTTCAATCATGCAGGACTGGATGGCAAGCAACCTCCACTTACCAAAAGCCACTACTTGTGAACTTCACGGAACCGACAAGGTGTAGCCAAAATTTCAGTCATCTGTCACCCCTATATATATTTCAACTCTTCTATGAAGCAGTTTGGCTATTGCTGATGAGGGAGACCAACCGATATGCAGATCAGACGCTATCTGCAATATCCGCTAACTCTCAGTGTACTTGGATTCCAACGGATGTTCCTGAAATGATGGCCTTTGTCGCACTGCTGCTCTCGATGGGCATCAACAAAAGGCCTGGCTATGCAATGTACTGGTCCAGGTTCGAAGTTGTTCGAAGTCCTTTGTATCCATCGACAATGTCTCGCAACTGATTTATGGCACTCCTTCGATTTCTCCACCTTGTCGACAAGACAGCACGCACACGAAAGTGTGTTGTTTGTAGTACGAGAACCCAACGTAAACAGACTCGTATGATTTGTAAGAATTGCCAGAAACCAATGTGTCTAATGCCATGCTTTGAAACATTTCACAGTGTGCGTTAACATGGATTCGGGTGGTTTAGATTTTGCCCCCCCCCTTCGATCACCCCCAATGCCCCCCCCCCCCCATTCCAATGTTGCAATGGTTCGCCCTGGCCGCGCAACAGCCTTTAATGCAACATTGGATGGGGGCGGGGGGATCAATTAGTTCCCAGAAATCAGTCAGAGGTCAGGAAAGTCCATTTTAGCAGCGACAGAGTACAGTCGACTCTCGTTGTAACAAAGTTGCAGGGACCTGACAAATTACTTTGTAATGACCAGGACTGTGTTATAAAAGGAGTGTAAAAACAAAGAAACACATAACAATTCAAGAAATCGGGATTCCCGAAATCTGTTCTTTATAGCAGTACTTTATGACAGTATCCTTTATAATGAGGGTCAACTGTATAACATTTTTCAATGAAAATGTAATATTTTGGACCAGTCTCAGAGGGTTTATAGACGGGGTGTACATGTATGTAAAATGAACTTCATGTATGGAAGTCTTACCCCGATTTTTATCTAACAACTTGACTAAATTCTCCTTATTGGATATCATTAGTATTAGTCAATGGGGTGGCATTGCAAGAGTTGCCTTTCATGATCTCGACTGTTGAGGGAGCTTTAAACTAAAAGTGGCTTAATTGTGCCTGGTAAGCAAAGGGAACTTGCATGTAAGATAGTGTGGTAAAGAACCTATGAATGGCCAAAGAGGTCTTGGGGCTGATAGGGGTATTTTGTTGTGTCAGTGAACTGCATTCAGGGTCCATTGGCGAGACTCTAGTGTTTAATACATAAGCGACAAAATCAGCCGGCTTTCAACACTGAGTTGACCACCAACAAGTTGGAGATGAAGCAACCAACGTCCCTGTGCAAAAGTTTAAATAGGTGAATGCAGGCTGGCGCGTGGAGTACAAACCAAATCAATAACCGACTCCCACACTTCTGCTACCAGTATTATGCTTAAATCTACCAGATAGTGGATGTGAAAAGGGGATAAAAATGGCAGGTATTCTAGTTGATTGTATTTGCGCAGGGATGTACATCAAATATTAAACGCGCCAAGTATTGTGAAGGGTATGGGAGGAAAATTCTCCAGATGTCATACACGCGGGTGTGTGTTTCGCATCAACTGTCCACTGAACCTTTCAAGATCGAGTAATCGACGTCACTGACTATTTGTCAGATGAGTCATGTTAAACTGTCCACCGTGTTTAAAAAACACGGTTATATAGTGCAAAAGAATTAACGTGAAACTTGTGAAGAATATTTAAGAAGGAATCTAGGCTGTGCGCCACTAGCCGGTCGATTTTTATTACTCTGCACAACGAACTTTCAAATAAGAATACGTTACTCCCAAAAGGACTTCATATTTTACATATCGAGCGTTCACGTTCCCAAACGTCTGCAACAGATTGTAAGTTGGATATTAAAACAAAAATATATTGAGAAAAGGTTAATATATTATTTTTTCCAAATAGGTCACTTGGGAGACATTTTGTGGTAAATTTTTTAACATTAGGGAGACATCGGTCATGAGGGAGACATTTCGAATGTCTCCCAAGTGACCCAACTACCAGAAGGAGGAAACTTTTTAGTGTCCACATTTTGAGAGATGATAGATTAGGAACAGGAAAACATGCAAAGTTTGGTTAAGATTAGGGATATATTGAATTAATGGACAGTAAAGTTTGTGCACGTTCCTATGGGAATGTCTCCCAAGTGACCCATTTGCGGTAATAATAATTATGGAAGTGATTTACGCCCCACAGTGGCATCACGGGGAGATCTTCCATCAGCGCTCCCTTCACCACCCCAAGATCAAGGACTCGCTCAACACCACCCTCGTACGCCGGGCATACAACGTGTGTGACCATCGCAACATGAACAGCGTTCGGCACCACATCTCCACAGCACTCCAGCGGAACGGATTCAAGAAGAGCCAAGTCAGGACTCAGCAACCAACACCTCGCCCCGACCGATGGGTCCCCTCTACCCTAGGTCAACCCCACACACACGATAGTACAGTCACCCTCCCATACCTAGGTCCCACTTCCCACCAAATCCAACGCATCCTCCAGAGACAGGGCATCAGATTGTTCTACACGGCACCCAGCAAGATCAGAAACCTCCCACATCACACAAGGACAAACAACACCCCAAATCTTGACCCTGCGTCTTCAGTATCCCCTGTGAATACGGTCAAGTGTACATCGGGGGGAGAGAGACAGGGATCGATAAGCAGTAGACTCAACGAACACGAGCACGTGGACGACGGGGAGACTACCAGAACTCATCTGTCGTTAAATAGTCACATGAAACAGACCGTCATGCTATCAAGTGGCATGACGCCCATCTCATCGCCAGCATCGAAGAATGGCACCCCTACGTATCCGCGAGGTCATTGAAATCTTCAAGAACAAAGACAGTCTCCCAAGACATCGGCTACAACATTAGTGATATTTGGCGCCCCCTCCTGTCCAGGAGGAAAAGAGTAAAATGACGTTATTCAACAGTCTAAGTGCTAGACGTTGTTATCATTTGGATGCGCGATAATCCCTACACACGGCACTGTTGATGTTGAATTTGGGCCAAGGAGTTGGAAGTTCCAACATGCAAGTGTTACACTTACATTACATCTGCGTTTATCCACCTTATTTGTCTTTGCTTTTTTTCAAATAAAAATAAAAAATTTGCTAGCCCCTTGAAATTTTGGTGGAAAATCCCCTATTGTGCAAGTATACTATCGTTCACGGAAGGTCACCGCGTGCGACCCCGCATATCGTTGAATTGCATTACACAGCCTACGTAGTGCACAGTATTACTCTGCCATTTCTTTTAAACAATGCAGAGTAGAGCAAGGTGTCTAATGATTTTAGCGCTAAACAAATTATAGAGCCTTTGGGCCAAGAAGCCCCCTATGTAGCAGAGAAGGTGGACTGGGTCGGTTTGCCTCGCATTAGAAAAACGAAGTTCCCAATAAACATGTGTTACATTCCCAAATATTTCATATTGTCAATATCAACCGCTGACGTTTACACATGTTCACAATTACATGTACTTGCAAACTGGATGTTAAAACAAAAACTGGATTACATGTTGACGAACGGTAGGCGAAGATTCATTTGCGAATGCTTTATGACAAAAGTTACATTTACCACATCTGCATAATGTACACGCGCATAAACATTAAGAGCCTAATAACAGTTTCTACTGAAAACACAATCGGCAAAACTGGACAGTCAAAATTTGCTACGCTAATAAAAGATGAGTAAATATTTAATTTACTGTTAGGGTAACTTGTTTAATGGTTGAAAGCTATTGTGCTTTTGAAGGACGCAGGCGATGTTTGAGTCTTCGAACAAAACAAAACAACAACAGGGAAAAAAGGAGGAGGAGGATTGAGTTGAATACTACATTACGAAATATGTCTGTCAGCCCTTTCATGTTTTGGTACAATTTAAGCAACAGTTAAAGTGATCCTATACTTCGCAAATATGGCTCTCATAATTTCCACTTCGCCAGTGGAAATGAACACAATGCACTTTTCGTATTTCTCTTCAATGCCAGTTTGATCATTTTTGAAGCAAAAACAAGGGTCACACATTACACATCTAGTCTTACTGTTCTGCTTCCGAAGTCTTTACTATTTATAATTTTCCTCCTCCATATTCCTAGCGCTTACATATTTTGTGACTTCGTGACACAGGATTCATACGAACATTTTTCAGATTCATTTTTTTCAAAGTATTTTTCAATATTATTAGGCCTAAATTGGTTTTTGGCCACCACATTTGAGCGGCCGACAACCATTATGACAACGGAAATGGAATAATTCCTAGCTAAGAGTAAGCAAGAGGAAGAAAAAAATATTTGTTTTTAATTAACTTAGACCTGTGTAATTAAACCATTCACCCTTATGACCAACAAGTTGAAAATAATGCGATTAGGCAATCATTCCTTGTCGTCTCAAACCTTGAGTAACAGCTCACAAATAAACTACTCAAAAAGTTTAGGACCACTTTTTCATAATTTGTATTTTTTCCAAGCAATGAGAGGGGGTCTAGTTCTTTCATATTTTGTTTGTGTAGATGATATTCCCACTGGAATCAGAAATATAAAACATGCTTCAAAACATCAAATGCAAATTATCAGCAGTAAAATATCTCATATAGAAAAGTAGACACAAAATAAAAGGTGGTCCTTGACTTTTTTGAGTAGTATATTTTGATATTACGTTCTTGCATCCACATAGAATATTTTAACAAAGTGTACCAGTGCTCTGTTAAATTCTACACTCATATTCTTCGAGCTATAGCAAAACATCCAATGAAACGATAATTTTGCAGTTTTGAAATTCACAGCACTTCCATTACACCTTAACATCATTGCTTATTTGAATGAGTACCTTTCTGTCTTTCCTACGTTTTGCTTTTAAGTTGTGCAATCGGCTCCTTTTTGTTCCCAGGTACACGTGTCCAAGGGCAACCACTTTCCTTAAACTAAATGCGCTCATCCTTCGGAGTGCCAGCTTAGTATACCATGTCTTGCATCTCAATTTACTTCAATGAGCAATATTCTAGCTGAAATCATGTACACTATCGCATAACTTACAAAGTGTAACCATAGTAACATTTTACTCACAGTTACCAGGAATACCAATGTGACAGTAAAAAAATCTACGATAACTTGATATTATATATAGTGCTATACTTCCAGCAAAGAATGAATAGTGTAGGTCCATCAAAGACCAGGTTATTTCAAATACTCGTCATCATTACAAATGCAAAGTCTAAACTCAATCAGGCAATTACTGTTTTGATATGTGCGCCAGCCCGCGTACGTTGAGCACCACAGTGGCCAAAGTAAACATTTTCGGCCGACCAGTCTCGGAAAACTCGATATTCACAATTTTGGTGTCAAAGTGACCGCGAAGAGGTACTTTTTAAACTCCTGAAGGCTCAGTGCCTACCCCCGCCCCGCACAAAAAAAGGTAGATGGGTTTCCGCCCCTGCCACTTTTAGGGTTAAAGCACCGTTGAAGCAAGCCCTGTTTTAATTATGATAGATTGGAATGTGAGCAAAACGTGAGGAAATGACCTTCCTTCTAAAAAAAGGCGCCGCACTTCAAGAACTCCCTCGCCACTCGAGGTTGATTATTGTTTCCTCATCCATTTATAATTCATAAAAGCCAAGGCCAGAAAGGGTCATATCAACCAGAAGTCCACCAGCAGCCATCACTGGTACTCCGCTCACTGCTGGGAAACCAGGGATCAGCATAACAGGAGCAGGGAGGCCGAATCCGACCATCGGCGCCGCAATACCTGGAACTGCGCCCACTGGAATTCCGAAGGGGGAGATCCCGACCCCGTTAGCCAACAGGGGTCGAATCGCTATCCCCGTCTCATTGGAAGGGACGAATGAACTAGACTCCAAAAGAGCGTCGGGGACCACCTCAAAGGAATCGTTGGAATTATTCAGGGCAGACACCACTTGAGCCGCAGTCGGACGGCGATGATAATCCTTCAGTAGCATTTTTTCGATCAAAGCGCAGATTACCTGGCTTCTTTCATAATTGTGCCCACCAGAAAGCTTAAATTGAGCCAAGTAACCTCTATGAAGTGCTTGTCCAAGGCCAATGAATTGCTCCGGAAACACACCTTCTGTGTAGTAAGGCACCAACATGTGTGTTCCTGGTAGACGCTTTCGCTTCAATATGCAGACAAAGATTTCCCCCATTTGGAACACGTCAGACTTCTCTGTGTAGTGTCCGTCAAACACCTCAGGGGCCATGAAATACATTTGACCACAGGCAGTTGCCATGTAGTAGTTGTAAAGGCTGCCCCCATGTTGAGAGTCCGAGGCAAGTTTGGCCAGGCCGAAGTCGGCAATTTTCAGGGTACCATCGGCTGTCAGTAAAATGTTATCTGGTTTGAGGTCACGGTGTATGACGTTGTTGGTATGAAGAAAGGCTACAGCTGATGCGATGTTCTTCATGAACTGGAGATCACGAACTGGTTCTGGTGGGTGTGACAGCAGGAACTTATTCAGGTCACCCCCTGGACAGTACTCCATGACCAGGCAGATGCGATCATTATCCAGCAGAATGTGTCGAGAGTATTTGATGACGTTATCATTCCTTGGGAGCTGGCAAAGTGCTTTTATTTCAGCTTCGGCTGATCTACCGAGGGATAGGATCTTCAAGGCATACTTGTTTCCGGTTCTTCGCTCTCGTCCGAGGTGTACTACGCCGAAACCCCCTGACCCCAGTTTCTTTTCCAACGAAAACTCGGCCCCCAGCCTGTCACACATTTTGGCAAGTTCTAGTTACAGCCTCCTGTCCGATCCCACATCAGCCACTGCTAACAAAAAAATAAATAAGGTACGTTTGCCATGCCATGCGAGTCTCGTACTATACTAAACTTAATGACGGTCTATCGTTAGTCGTGTTTTCTCCGGCCGTGAACTCCAATACATTAATGCGGGTCTAGCATAAATGATATTAATAGTGCCTGGGTTTCAACTGTCTATCACCTGCAAGTTGAGGACGAGGCAACCAACGTCCCCGCCCAAAGGTACCATGCGAAAACCAGCGATAACATAACAGTGGAGAACAAAACGAAAACAATACAGGCTTGGGGGCAAGTACAGTACTTGTGGCGAGTCTACAGTGGTGACGGCATCTTATTGCATGCTTATGGGCTTTCCCTTTTTTTTCCAGAAACGTTTGCGCAACAGTTAAGTTTTTTGTTTGGTTATTTTTTTTTTAAGGCTGAAATGCTTTTGAAATGCTTTTGGCTCAGTAAAGGCAAGTGAAATTCACGATTTGAATGTTTTCCAAATCTTTGCTTAAGAGCATTTTTTGGTCTTTGAAGTGGAAGTTTCGACAAAGAAGCTGAAGGCAACATGACAGCTACCGGCTTCTACCCATTTGGTGTTTGTGAAACTGGGACAAAACAGGTTCGGAACCCTCTGATCAATTTTGCCAGGTGAATTGCTCTGTTGGGGGAAACAAATTGACTTGTTTCAGGCCATTTTTGTGGATGCCCCATTTTTCGGAAAAATGATCCAAAGCTAACCTCGTTTGCTCAACAGACTCTCCAGGATTTTTTTGGGGGGCACGTAAGCTCTAGTCGAAAATGAAATTGAATTCGTTAAAAAACACTTCCGTGAAGGTAACAAAACAGTCACCTTACCCATTGGCAACATGCATTTCGTACACCGTACATGTACAAGGTATATGGCATTGCATTGTGTGCAAAATGCACGATCACTCATGCGCTTAAAACACCTGCCAGGGATCAAGTTCAAAGAAAGAAGGGTCGAGCTCATAGGCTGTCACAAGATGCGGGTTTACTCATCTGGGTAAAAACGACGCCCAGTTTGTGGCTCAGCTGACGATAAAGGGAGATGAAAAATGGTGTTACCTAGAAAGTAGCGCCGACTGGCCCTTTTTCTGTCATTCAGATGCATCATCCTCAACCATAACCTCATGTTATGAATCAATGGGACTCGCATGTTTCTATCAGATTATTGTCTGTCAAACTGACGTCATCTTCCTGGGTTTCACCCAGAAATTTCGAAATGAAGGGACACATTCTGTCATGACAAACAGAATGTGTTAGTGTTCCAAAACGGACAAAGTTTCGAAAGGTGAGTGGGTTCACCCAGGACACGAAGGATTGGACAATTAACCACATTCAGGGGAACAACTTTGAACAGGAGTTGGGCTACCTTTTTAGTCTAATCTTCATTCATGACAGTACAATTTCCTCTCTTCAAAAAATCAAACTACTGACACGAATCTTTCTTCATAAAATGTAGCATTATGTAATTATTGACCGCAGTAACATAATCAGGATAAGCATTAAATTATAAATATCGTGACAACAGAAAGGACATACACAAACTACACACTCATATACAGTAGGTCGTCGAGGGTAGGTTATTGAGTGGACAAAAATCGGCTCGATGATTATATGATGGGTATGCTTGTCTACATTAGGTCTACTTGGAAATTCACAAAATTAAAATTAATTTCCATCTGTGCAGAAATTTACTTACGCAATAGATATAGAAATACAATTTGCCAGCCATGTCCTTGTTTCGCTCTACCTTTCATTACATTTCCTTCTTTGCGAGCTTAAATCTGCAGTGTGGTTGGCTATTTGTCGAAGTACTACCGGTAGTCTTCGGGTTAAGAGACACAGTGTGAAAGGTATTGGTCATCTGCAAAACTAAAGATGTATGTTTTCCGGGTGTCTGAAAAAACTAAGAGCCTTTTCATTTGTTACAATTAATGATTAGTTGCTTTCATCACGCCCAGGATATATGATAATGAATTACTTGGCATGAAAAATCACTGCCAAAACAAAATCACTGCAACTTATACAAAATTACAGATTTGTACATAGACAAAACAGATTCACGATGTAAAAACCCTACGTTAAGGAGTAAGCAGTCATTCATAAATTAAACGCTTAAAACACATACACACCCACACACGAGTAAAACTGTTCTACGGATGTAATAAGTATTTCTATCTACAGTGATACATTCCAAATCTGCCATTCGTAATTAATACAATGTCTGCCCTCCCTTCTCATATTGATCTTAAATGGGTAACCTCATCTTACCCCAGTCAATATAGGCCTACCATGTCAGAACAACATTGATTCACAGTTGATGGAAATTAAAAGAAGGGTTGGTATCATTCAGACTACTTATTTGACTTCCTATTATACAGCCTTCAAAATGGAAGTGGGTGGGAATGATAAACATTTTTTTGTTCAATTTGCCATTTCCTTACAACTGAGTGGAAAAACCCCGATTGCGCAAGCACACCAGAATTCATGGAAAGCCATTTTGTGCCCATAGCCTCACCACTGGTCTGAATGTAGTGCTCACCGTTGAACGCGAAGTTGTTCAACGTGAGCACCAACTCAGCCAGACGGAGCAGAGTGCTGATGGGATGATCCTGAGTCGGGCCGAGATCTAGATAGTGTTCGAGCGCAGGCAAACCACCTGCATGGGGAATAGATGTGTAAGAGGTTTCACATCCATGGTGAAAAGGAAGTTGGATGAACCTACGAACTCAAATTCATGGAACAGACGTAGAGCGTGATCAGTATCCTTGATATAGCTGAGACGCCGGTAGATGCTAGTCTGTTAATGACCCTTTTTCATATTGTGTGTTGAGCAGCAAAAACGGCGCACAAGTGACCGCTGTAAACTAACAAACAAAACTCTTCATTATATTCCAAAAAATCAAAGATAACAAATATTTTGTCTCATGTCGAATTCGACAAACAATTTCATGCATACTATCACATATCTCATGATCTAAAAACTAAACTGATCTAAAAAAAAATCACTATTGTCTCATTTGGAAAAAATAGAGAGATCTGAAGGCAAGGTCCTATTGCTCCCTCTGACCTTAGGCCCTTGGATTGAACACTGGGTCTATCTCTCATTACCAATATCCATGTAGGCTGGAGGAGTAAACCATCGGATTATTCTTGTAACGGCAAACACTGTACCAGCTGCAATTAGTCCGACCCCTGTTCCCAAAAACAAATCCTCCTGTTTCTCCTGTTGCAGTGCCCACTTTAGCAATCGCAACACCTTCGTTACTGTTGCTGTCGGAACCGGTGTCCTCTTTGGGATCCACCTTATAGGAATCGGTGAGATTATTCAGGGTAGACGTTACTTCAGCCGCTGTCGGACGTCTGCGGTGAGTCATCAGAAGCATTCTTTCTATCAGTCCGCGGAAATCTTAGCTTATTTGAAGATTCGGCCTGTCAGAACGTTCAAAGCATTCCAGGTGGCCGTCATGTAAGGATTGTCCAAGGCCAATGAATTCCCTCAAAATGCTTCTTTTGGGGAAGTAATAAGGAGCTAACATGATTGTCCCCGGGGACACTCTCGTTCCATTATGCAGACAAAAATCTCTCCAATTTGCAACACGTCAGTTTTCTCTGTGCAATGTCCAGTGGTTACTTCGGGAGCCAAAAAATACACGTGACCAGCAGCAGATGCAGTGTAGTAGTTATACAGACTTCCCCCAGGTTGAGAGTCCGAAGCACATTTGGCCAGGCCAAAGTCGGCAATTTTCAGAGTACCATCGGCTGTGAGTAGAACGTTATCTGGTTTCAAATCCCGGTGTACGATGTTGTTTGCATAAAGGAATTCTACAGCGGACGCGATGTTCTTCATAAACTGGCGATCTCGGGCAGGTTCTGGGGGTGTGACAGCAAGAACTTACACAGGTCACCCCCTGGACAGTACTCCATGACTAGGCACATTCGATGATTATCGAGAATGATGTGTCGAGCGTAGTCGATCATGCCCTGGGAGCTGGCAAAGTGCCTTTATTTCAGCTTCGGTTGATCTACCAAGGGGTAAAGGATCTTTGTTTTTTTGCTCAAGTCCGAGATGAACTTCGACGAAACACCCCTTTCCCAGTTTCCTTTCAAAGAAAAACTCGGTCTTCAGCCGGTCAGGCATTTTGGCTTAGGCTTTGCGCAGCCTCGACTGCCCGACCTAACATGATTGAGCCACTGTCTTGACTGTGCCACTGCATAAAAAGTAATGGCAAGTAAGCTGCCATATCCTGCGATTCTTGTTCTCTGCTAAACTTGACGACCGGTCATTAGATTATCGTGTTTGGTCAGTGAACTGCATTCAAAATCCCTTGGCGAGGGCTGGTGTATAACATAAGCGACAGAATTGGCTGGGTTTCAACAGTCGATCATCAGTGAGTTGGGGATGAGGCAACCAATGTCTTCATGCAAAGGTTCCAATGCATGCATATAGGTTTGGTCATAGATAATGCAGATGAAGAACAAAACCAAATCAAAAACCAACTTGGCATTAAGTCTACTACTATACATGTATTTGAGTCTGTGGACGGCTGTCATGACAACTACACCTTTCGTGCTGAGGGACTTTCCCTTTGCAGAGTTTTGACAACTTTTGTGCACCATTTGAGGTATTAGAAGCCATGCAATGACCGCTTCCACCCCCACCCCCCCCAAAAAAACTGAAATGTTCATGCTGGTCATTACAACTCACAGATTGCATGCTTTTAGATAATTTGCCATTAAAGCATTTTATTGCCCATGAACAGGAGTGTTAAAGAAAAAAGTCAGCAGGACTGTATTCGTTTGAAATTGGGATAAAAAATGGCAGACCTTCTATTTTGCAGAAGGATATGCATCAAATTTAACATTGGCCATAGAAAATTCTCCATAACCGCGGGTGTGTCTTGCATCACCTTTACCATTTGCATGTGCCCTACTGCACCCTGTTGTCATTTACTGCCCCCTCAACTTGAACAGCCGTGGATTAAAAGCCCTCGTTTTACTCTAACCGTCAAAACAGTCAAAATTCCTTCCACTTGATTTCCCCTAGTGCACAGACCCAATATGGCAAATTTGACTGATTTTGACTGATAGGACAACTGTGTCAAGAATGTTTATTTGCATAGGAGGGTTTTAATAGCTGCTAATCCTTCTTCATTCTGAAAATGCAGACTGTTGGTTTTACCCCTTCATTCTCAGGGATGTCTACTTCTTCGCCTCTGGGAGTGCGTGTGTGATCCTGTAATGTCTACCCTTTAATTCTATGTCAACACTCTCTGAAGATGGACGGAATGTGGGCTTCACGTCCGGGCCGCCATCCACCAAGTTGTATTATCCTTAAAGATTTTGGCCTTTCCATACTTATGCTTTGGATGCGTTGCGCACACGGTACGTTTATGCGTTTCACTTTCACGGACACAAAAATCGACTCCATTAAATAACACCTTCCGTTTCGTGACGTTCGGCGGTCAAAATCGCCCTGGGAGCGAAGTTGACGGGTTATGCAACATTTTACGTATAAAGTAGTGACTTGCAAATGGAAAGGCTCCTTTAGTCGGTAGCTCGTCAGTAGTGGGGGGGCCTATTGAGCACAATTTGACCTTTGACCTAAAAAGAGAAGGGTCATTAATATGCATAAGTATATAATAATGATATTGATATGGATAGGAATGACGTGTAGGGTGAAAAATGATAGTACAGAATGACCTTTGGAAAGGGATAGGCATAGGATAAGGTCAGAAAGTTTGGTACAGGTTGACCCTGGTGTATGGGATAAAATAGGAATAAGGCATAGCATGGGGTAAAAATTTTGGGTACAATTTGACCTTGCTTATGAATTTATGGCACAACATGATGAAAGAGGATGAGTCATACAGTGTGTGATGGTACACTGACTGGCCCACCAGGCAATCCTAATGTAATCAAGGAGTAGGAAGCGATAATCCCTACACAATAGGGGTGCACCCTCGTAATTAGGCCAGAAATATGTCCGCCGAGCTCATTAATAAAAGTTATACACTCAAAATATTCTATATTAGAGGGTCCTGAGAGACATGGAACTGAGGAATTGAAGAAATATGAGACTGGACCTCTGGGCCGGACCCAAAGNCTAAAACTTGAAAGGAAAATTGAAAGGAAAATGAAAGAGGACATGTGGAACAGCATTTTTCTGTGCAGCCTGAACACCTGTGAGAGTTGTATTTTTAAAATATTTCTGAAGTATGGGGATTTATCACTGCTGTCTATGGGAATTTATTTTTAGTGGTGCACCCATAGACAGCTCGTGCCGCCGGGTAATGAAAGGGATAATCCCTAGATTAGGAATGTAGTGGCTGAGCTGTGTCGGCTGACTATTGTGTTAATGGTTACATAGTGTACGTTGGAAGTGAGCGTTGGTCTGACTTAACCTTTGGACACTAAGGAAGAGAGGGCGCCCACATGCTAGCGGTCTTGGGTTTGGCTTACTATGGCTACCGAGATTTGATCGATACAGGAAGAAGACTCTATTGCCCCTAGCTGAATTTTTAATCCTTTGAACTGGAGTGTTTTACGTCTCGTTACCCTGTACATGTATACGTTTCACAAATTCAGTCAGAGCGGAGCGTTACTGTTGTTCGTTATTGCGGAACCTAAATGTAAAATACAGCATTATATAAAATTAAGAGTTCTGGGGGTGGCATGACGTCAGTTGGGATTTTTAATACGTTGCCAAGGGGGTAAATTTATTCGTCGTGCTGTGGAATATTGTGTAGCAGTTCCGGCCAATATCCCACCTGAAAATTATTATTCGATAGTCATACTGATAAGTATAACACAAAACAAATTCGGTGGACTTCACATATTGGTTTCTGGTAGGTTTGTACTGGTACCGTTTTATTTCCCGTTGTTCATCGTTGATTTTTTACAATAATCATTTTAGTAATTTTAAGAATAACTACAAGGGTGATTACCGGAAGTTTGTTAACTTTAAATCAGAGTTATTACATGTACTCATTATTTTTGGAACAATTTGTCTCTACAGACTGTTATCTTTTAGGTATGCTCCTCTTCGTCGTGAAACAGTCCTGCATTCTGTTGAGGAAGTCGATGACGAAACCTAGGATGAAGACAGTTCAGATTTGGAAGATAATGCCGCCTACCAAGATTGGCTGGCTGAAGCTAAAGAAACGCATAGGGAGATGAGGGATGAAAAGATGGCAAGTACGTCAACGAAGGCATGGATGAAGATCAAGCGAGGCAGAAGGCAAACAGAAAGACCCAAACAAGCTTTCTTCACTTTCTTTTTTCTCAGTCAATTTGTTAAGGTTTTCAAGCACGTGCCCAGAATCTTGTGTATATGTGCTTCTTTGTTTGACAAGTGGAAGCAAAAAGTAGTCTATGTATTTTGAAATCGATTGAGTCAGACCTCCGCAACCACTGACAGTCTTGCCTGCTTAAAACGCAAATACCACGGCCTTTCTCGGGGCGAGGTCTGCGGGTTAAGATCCGCTGGGGGATCCGTGAGGCGAGATGCGAGATGCGCGTGGCAAATATAGGACACTGTATCAGGGATGGGAGAATAAAACAGTGAGCAGATTGTACATGCAGATCCCTGAAGAACCTTTGCAGAAGATGATGCAGCATCGATGACTGATACAAATATAACTGGTTTGAAACAAATGGTATATTTTTTATGTGTGACTTCGGGTAACTATCAGAGGTTACAATAATTTCCAACACAACAAACTGAATGCCAACTAACTAAAGTAGTTTGACTATAGTCTACATATATGTACTTTCTGGTAGTGTTATAACCACTCAGTTTCGGCGTCCTTGGGTGCAAGTAATAGGAACAAGCAGATTTCTATCGAAAATTAATTGTAGTTATCGATACCACGTCAAAAATTAACCGGTAGCGCAGGAACACAAGAATTCACGAGTCAATTTATTCTTTTGATGTAAGCATGAGTAGAGTTGGACATAATATGATTAGGTTCAAAATTATATATACACATAAAATGATAAAGAGGTTTGAGATTTGACAAACTTTACCTTGAAAGGTTCATGGACAAAGGTTGAATAGATACTGGGAACTGTGCTGATGTTCACTGATTAGGTTTAACAGTGTAGTGGTTGTGGGTCAAACGTTCACCGTTTACATGTGGTAAGTGGCTTTATGGAAGGTCTTGGCTGTCCACGTATGTAAACCCAACAAGAGGTTACCTCCAACACCTCTGACTATGGTCCTTGTGTCTCTAATATGTGTCGTCAGCTTGGCATTCGCCACTCAGCCAGTCCTTGCAAAGGTAATTCCATTTTTTGGTGCCAATCTGGGGATGTAACTGCTCACTGGACCGGCGGGGAGGTTTATCCGTCGAGCAACGATGTCGTTTCGGTTGGCACGTTTTGACGGGCATTATTCTCTGTATTTCTGCACCTATGTACAGTACTTACCTCACAATAGCGCTTGCAAAATTACACATCCATGAATGTTGAGCTTGTAGTGAGGAACGGTAGCGCGTTGAAAAATGGTTCCTGAACATGTTTGACTACTGTCGTCTAAATACCGAATATACAGAGTGTCAGTGGTCCCACGGCATAATAATTTCATAATTGAAATCAAGGAGTGACTGCTAACGTATCTGTCGACCTTCACAGTTCATTCAGCTTTCATCTTATTTCGATAAAATTAATTTTCCCTCCCAAATTCTATGTAAACGCTGAAGTTCAAATGTCAGTGCTCTTCACACATGTAATTAAGTTGCAATGTTCCAGTAGCGTCTCGCTGGGTTCACGCCCAAACCGACTATTTAATGCAAGAACACTAATGGTTTAAAACCGGCTTAGGCTGTATTCAAATTCTTTGGCTGTGGTCTAAGATTATGCACAAGTCAATGGTAGTGGCTACAGCCAGTTCCCACAGAGTTGCGTGTGATTTCCAGCCCCAGGCAAGTGATTGGGACACGGCCATTCACTCTGTCTGCCCTGAGCTGAAGTGCACAGCAACCTCCAAAAACGGTGAAAGAAAGACAAACGGGTCTTATTCCTCCATGCTGTTAAGTTTTCCAACCGGGTTCTTGCACGCGTTCGGGGTGCACGCGAAGACCATACAGTCCAGACTAAATTCGTTGAGCGTACTCAGCGTGCTCGCGTCTGCATAAACTCGCGCACCTATGCGTTGAGTGCGTACCAAAGGACAGTCAATTTCATTTCAAAACACGCCCTCTTTTATTCCTGCTCGGAGCGGATAGGCCTACTGAACATGAAAGCCCTATTGCCAGTGCACATTCAGACACGGTAGAATTTTCTAATGTTTACATAGATTCAACCCCAAAACAGCAAAGGACAAAAATGCCCCCTTTGACTTTTTTCCGATTTCGTCGCAGTACTTTTTTCACACACCGAGCGAGCGTACAGGTTTTTTCAGTGGTATCTTATACTCAATTCGATACCAACAGTGTGACAATTGGACGCACCATTCTCGTGCAGTGTATGTTTTTCTCTGGGCCATGTCAGGTAAATTGTAAATGTGAACTTTTTCCTACCGACTTCTCAATGCACATCATGGCCTTACACAGGTCTGGCCTTGAACTTTAAAAATAACCGAATACGTCGGTTGGAAGCGAAACTGCACATTTGCACTGATAATGAGTGTGTGTGCATGTATAATGCATGTAAGGTTTTCACCAAATAAATCGTGCTGCAGCGCTGTGGTTCTTCAAGGACATTGAATGGTCCCGCAAAAGCGAAGAGGTTATAGAGGATTTAAATTTGATAGGAATAACGAATCATCTCTCACTTGAATAGGCGGGGTTGATGGAAAGCGCCTTGGCTAGTTAAGCCACGTGCGCTTTAGTTTTGTTTTTTTGTTTGTTTGAGGGATTTGCACGCTCTAGACAAGATGAATATGTCAACAGAAAAGAGTACCCTTCGCCATTTTGTTGCACGTTAACCAAAACTTTTCGCTCGAAAATAATTAAAGAAGGAATAGTTACAATCAACGTGCTACCAACAAAATGAATAATTTCGACCAACGTTGCTCTTTTCAACCGATGAGTGGGTGCTTCTGCTCGAGGAGGATTGCGAAATGTATTTTGGTCAATTTCAAGATTTTAACGGGTAACCTCCTTGGGGTAGGAATATCTGCCCACGGGGTGGACACTTGCCCTAGTACAAGAATCCCCAATGCGCTTACTGAAACTTTAACTGTCTTCTCGGTAGGAAAAGCTTCTCTTTCTACTGGTGGATGGCTTCCGGTGGGATCGACTGGGCTATGATATGCCGGCCCTTGACAGGTTGGAGCGGCAGGGGGTGCGGGCAGAGTGGCTTGATGGCGTCTTCATTACACGGTCAGCACCAAGTATGTTCAGCATTGCTACAGGTGGGTCAGAAGCAGGAATCAGGACCTTTCGCCTTTGAAAGTCTTTATATACCTGTGTCAACTGTCAAACTGATGGTCCACGGTTAACAGAGGGTCGATGAATGAATTTGAACAACCGTGTACAAATCCTTTAGGAGCCGATCGCTGAAGAGTGTCAGGTCGACTCCTGTATTTTACGTTGCAAGTTACGTTGGAATATTGTCTTGAGCTTGTTTTGTATATGTTTTTGACTTTCCATACTCAGTAAAATTCAAGTTTTGATGAAAGAGGTAAAAGCATACACTCAAGAGAGGCTCGTGGATGGAGGCACGATTATAAGTTGCCATCTAGGTTTTCATATTATGAGCTTTAGTGAGATTTAAAACATGTTTCGATCAAAAGAAATCCATCATTGGACAGCATAGGAATCTGAAAGTATCGTAATGTTTTTCAAAGCTGAGAAAATATTGTGCTGTATTTTATACAGTCCTTTGCAAATGATTTATGATTGAAAATCTTTCAAACAAGTTGCACGAATCTCCTAACTTTGGGGGAAAAGAATTTGCGAAGTTGTTCAGCAATCGAGGATTTTCAACATCGCCATTTGGTCACTTCTTGGAGAGAAGAGTCCCTAGTTAAAATTGTTATTGCAAGAACATAGTGTTTGGCGTTGGCAAGGGAGTTCTACCTGACAATAGAGGGTCTACGCTGTACAATTGGGTTGTAGATGTTTCTCGATGCGGCAAAAAGCCATACACATGTAAATCCCAGTTAACGACATTTGTACGGATTTCCTGTTGTAGGGCTCTACATTGAGCACCATGGTGTCGTACACAACATAGCTTTTGATCCGGTCACTGGTGAAAGGACTAACGGCTGGTCAGAGATGCTGAACACCACCTGGTGGTTCAACTGGGCGGGAGAGCCCCTCTGGATCACGGCCAAGTCGCAAGGTCTAAAAGTGGGCTCATTCATGTATCCAGGGGGACAGACGCCGATTGATGGCATCTTACCGGACCGCTTTGTCCCTTACACCAGTGAGACATACCACAAATATGTCAATCTTGTGGATCGAGCGGATGTGGTATTCGAGTGGCTGTACGGAGACGGACTGGATGTCGTGTTCCTGTACGTTGGCAAGCTAGACAGCATGTTACACGCTGCTGGAATCGGTGAGGAAGCGGGCAAGGTGGCAGACGAGGTGAACGAGCTGGTATCCTACATTCTGGACAAAATGGAGGAGACTGGCGTCCGAGAAAATTTGAATTTTATCGTCGCCAGTGACCATGGCATGGTTAATATCTCCAACAACAAAGCGCTTTCAATGTTCGAGTACATCGACGAATCGCTTTTAGACTTTGTCATCGCGGACGGCGGGTCTGTGTTTCAGATCTTGCCTGTAGATGGCGCCCTGGAGCAGGTAATTTCATAACTGTGATGTGAGTCTAAAATTTTGGAACCAGAATAATGCATGAGGGCAAACGGACAATAGACTTGTTGAAAATAAACGCAGTGGTTACAGCAGTGAATTGTGGGTAAAAGTGGGTATAAAATCAAAGATGGCGGAAACAATCGCCAGTAATGCGAGATGTTGCGGGCTTTAGACGGAGCAAACTTGCAGTCTCCTGGATGCTTTAAAAATGCAGCTCTGGCGTTCGTCGTGTGTTTGATGTACACAATAGCACACAATTGTTAACATGAACCATTTGGAAATATAGGTCTTCTTAATTTGAAAATCCTTTTACAATATCTGGCGCTAGCGCGCGACTGTCGACTCTACCTTTCACCCACAATGCACCACGGTAAGTATTGCGTTACGTCATTATGTTTTAGGTCTTTAATAAGCAAACAATCATAGTCGCACGCTGTACTGCACTCATCAACCATTTTGGTTTTATAGTCTGAAGTTGGCAATACTTTCTCTTCAAACAATTTTGGCCAAGGATGGTTCATCCATATTGCTACAATCGAACTTAAATTCGTTTAAATTTTAATCGTTTCTAGGATGTTCATAAACTGCATTCATTGGTGAGAGCGCAGTAAAGATTGCTTGTACTGCAACAAATAAACAAAGCTGTGTGCTGAATGGAAGTGGGCGAGATTGTTTTCCACGTTTGTGGACTGCGCCCTCATGCATCGTTATGGCCCCCTTTGCATTTTACACGGTTTGAGTTGTTGATAGCTCATTGATGATGGGGAAAAATAGGTGGCGTATCCAGCGGGGGACAACTTCCCTCTTCTCCGACGATTTGCTTTCTTTTACATATAAAATACTTCGTTGGAGAGTAAGGAAGAAAGTACATGTAATGGATATATTTATGTGACCAGTCGACTACTCTAGTCACCTCGTCCCTGCACTTCTGTAACACATTTCTTATTCACTTCTAGACTTCAATATTCTCCTTTCTATACATCTACCTCATGAACAGACTTGTACATGTAACATAATTAGACGCAGCCTTGTGTTGTAGAGCGCCCTCTCTGTTAAGCCTTCACTTTACACTTGATGAAAAAGCTGGCAACAATAACCATTCATTTCGCTGCATTTGGTACTCTTATTATGAATCACATTTGTACTGTACAGGTGTACAGTAAGTTGAAATCCGCTCACCCGTCAATTAACATGTACAAGAAGGAAGAGTTTCCACCGTGGTTTCACTACGCGGACAACCCACGAAACCTGCCACTCATAGGCTACATGGATATCGGCTGGACTATGTATAAGGTATTTTAGGCGTAGAAACATAAGACCTGTTACCAAATAACCTCCGTCAAAAGACACAAGTTAGTCTCCAAAAGTGAGCACCTTGACTCCATTTTCCCTTCAATATCAAAGGGGTTCGTTGTCCAGCCCCGTTTGGGTTAAAGGTATATCTCTAACGACTCCATTAAAATAACAACCTTGGAAGACTTGCCTTCGAAACATTTACATTTTACCATACTGACTTATTCGAGAAATTTCCAGCAATTCAAAGTATGAAAAGATCAGAAAATAAAAAGAAAAATGTCATTCCGTTGGGGTCCAGAAGCACTACATGTGCATCATTCCAATAAGCTGGTGAAATCAACTGGACTGAAGATGGCTTTCACAAATTGTAATAACTGAAAAAAGGGACTTGCGTGCGCATGCGAGAGTATATACTCTCGGTAGAGGGGCAGTATACTCCTGCATCTTTGTGTAATGCGCACACGTCCCTGCTGTAATAACAGGAGCAACCGTGCGAACGCACCCATGGGGTATAGCAACATCGTCTAGCCTACCAGTGTTCAATCTGCCTCCTTGGGTCAATGCACATGTACGGGTACTGTACCCATTCGATTCGCTGCTTTCTGCATTTGGTAAATCTGAATAACCAGATCTCTTTCTTTTTGGAATCTGCACTTTGTCTTGGACAACCCCAAACACAGTAATTGGACACAATTTCTTTCGGTAGTACTCCAAGCTATGACCAAAAAACCAAGTTCAATGGTAAGCTATGTACACGTACGTACAGTATACACTGAGCAGCGTGTTTTAACAAAATGAAGATGTCTATTACACACCTGCAAAGCTGCCTTACATCAGAACGACTTATTTACGGCTCTTTGAAGGTTTTCCCACTTTTGAGTGCAATTTAAATACACTTGTTTATTGGGAAGTCCTGAAAATTTCCTTACTCTCTTCCTTGAGTTTTTTTTTTCAGGGGGGTTCAATAGCCTATCTCTCTGCCAAAATGTGGTGGGATAAATACCCCCAACAGGGTCTGCGCCCAAGCATTCATCAAAAACGATTAGGTTATCTCTTTCATGTCTTATTGATTAAAGCAAGTTAATCAATCGGAAGTTACCGATAAAGCCGGCCATGGTTACGACAATCGGGACATGACCATGAAATCATCTTTCTACGCCCAGGGACCCAGCTTCAGGAAGGGGTATCGCGCCAGACACTTTGAATCGGTAGGACTATCTCCCTCAAAGAAGACTTTGACGTGTTCTTCTTGTTCTATTTATTTCACAGACACCCTTTTCTGTCTTGTTACTTTCGAGCACATCAAAGATTCTTTTCAATAGCAACGAAGAGTCTCGAAGAGTAGGAATTTAGTGCAAGCAGTCATGCGTTCGTCTTTGGACGTTCCCTTTTAACCATAATAAACTCCGCCACAACTCGCTTCTTAAGCTATTTTTCTTAAAAGCAAACGACTTCCCCAAGACGTGCCTAACTTAAACTTCAGGCTTTCCTTGAGTAACGATCCTCTTTTTCAGGTTCGATTTACTCCTGCTAAGTCAGATGATTAAAAGGAGCCAACGAAAGCCATAAGTTAAAACATTTAAAGTCATCAACAAATTAACTAAAAAGGCACGCTATGGTGCTTTTGCATTTTTCTTTACAATAGCGCCATGGTAGGCAGGTCACATTGAGCAAAGTTCTTAACACATTGTTGATGAATTTGATGATTGATTCGATGATTTTTTTTAATGAATTCCAACAGGTAAACATTTATCCCCTGATGTGCGAACTGCTTGACATCGTGCCAGCTCCCAACAATGGATCCCGAGATAATTACAAAGACATGCTGGTATCTGAGCATCCACCTACGTCACCGCCCGGATGTGGAGTTAGCGCCCTCTGCAGTCACACCACCTTGATTCTTTTAACAGTTGCTCTAAGTGCCTCCACCAAAAGCTAAATAAAATCATGACCACTTATTACGTGCCTACTACATCATGTATTTGAGGTGTTTGTCAAAATTATTACTTCACAAACACATTACATTCTATTTAAATACTTACAAACAATATTTTTCTTGGTATGCTTGTTATGGTCAAAATCACCGTTATTTGTGAGATTTATTACGGATCTACAGTCACAGATCAGTAAAACTGCTTACTGCCAGCTGTGAGGGTGACTTCAAATGACAAGTGACAGCGTCATCGTGGTCACATATTTAATGACAAATTTGTGTTTTGTGTGGTTGAAAGTATGCACTCTTGGTAAAAGTACTATACATTTGCTGGTAAAATGCAAAATACATAATACATACAAAATGCAAAATACCAGACTGGCACTCATAGCCATAGTCATTTGATATTCCAACTGCATGCTGTAGAATTAATATCAATGTAATGGAAGACCCCCTATTAGACTTGGCATGTTTAATAATGTCTCAGATGAGACTCCGTACCTGCATATGTTATGGTTCAAAGAAATGAAAGGAACTATGAAATTAAACCTAAATAAATCCTGCGTTTTGATCCCTTTAATGATGTCTTTTGTGTTCGTAAGGCTAACTGTACTCATCGCCCAACCCGACCCCGTCGCTACTGCTTCTCTACCGACACCCATGGCCGCATTCTCAACTCAATCTGCCTCCTGGATCAAGTCATCCGAGATCCATGTGTTATGGTTCAAAGAAATAAAAGGAACAATGAAATTAAACATAAATTCTGCGTTTTGATACCGTCAATAACCAAACGTTGACAATTGGTAAATGTTTAGTCAAATATACTGTATATATAACTCATTAAAACGAACTTGAAAAAAATCTCCGAAAAACAACTTGGAAAAAATACATCGCGTAAAATGATTAACTTCCCAAAACAGAAACGTTTCTATTATGGGATCTTACGGGAATGAACTCGAGCAAATTAACTTGGTAAAATGTATCTCGTAGAAAAGAACTTGGAAAATGTATACTTCATAAAAACAAACTTTGAAAAATATACTTGATGAAAATATGTGCTTGACCGCACTACGGGGCTTTCGTATTTTTCTGTGTTTCTCTCCACAGAATTATTTCCATTGGTAGATATATTATCTCTTCTCAGTTTTACAGTTGAATGGTCATGTTGCCAAACTCATGAAAGCTTAATTGATGCATGACTTCCTGCAATCATCGCCCTTGATATCGCCAACAATTACTAATTGTTCGCTACCACAAAGACAACAAAGAAATGCGATTGTCAACCATAATTTCTGCCCAACTGCTTCGGACTGGTCGGTCTATTATCGGTGAATGTAGCAGCTGGTCTCGAAATTTCATCAGCGATCTTTCAGTATCTTTCAGTTTCTCTTATGTATAAGCAGTGGGCCGTTACGCACTGCTCATTAATGAAGCAGCTCATCCGTGGTACAATTGCCACGTCGGAAAGTCAAACACAATGTAATGAACAATGCCTTTCGCCGAATGAAAATGGCTGCTTTCTGTGACATCTCGTGCCATTTTCCCTTACCATAAAATTTAAAAAGCGAATGTGCAAAGTCCAAAAAACAACAGCAACGATAGCTGACATCGTCATCTGGTTTTATCGCTGATTTTGAGACTTCGTGTTTTATTTGTCGTCATGGGGTCCCAATTCCCAGAGTCACATACGAAGGTGATGGAAACGCATCAGTCTAATACTCTTCACAACTGTGCTACTAGCTGTCTGAGAGTCACCATGTACTTAGTGTTCAAAGTTGTTGGCCTTGTAGCCATCACTGCAGCCATCAATGCTGCATGGGGGTCAGACTTCTGTCCCTCTCTGCCTGCCATGAACTGTTCCTGTCCGTCGGGGTGGCAACTGTGGAGGAAAGCTTGCTATCGCCTCACTGAATCAAAGGCTGACTGGGAAAGCAGTAAGTCAGCTTGTCAAGAGATGGGAGGCAAGATGGCTGCTCCTCGCTCCCAACAAGAAATGAAGTTCATGGTGAATTTGGCACGGCAGAAGGTCAGTGACTACTACGTCTGGGTTGCTTGCAATGACATTGAAGTCGAAGGAAACTGGAAGTGTGATGGCCAGGAAGGGAGCAAGCCGTTCATGGGATGGCAACCTGGGCAACCGGATAACACTGGAGAGATTCAAGATTGTGCTGCAATAGGTGCAAGACATGATAATAAGATGGATGACAGTAGCTGTATGGATTCCCATGGTGCCTTTTGTGTTCTCCAGGCTAACTGTACCCATCACCCAACCCAACCCCGTCGCTACTGCTTCTCTACCAACGTCCACGGCCGCATTCTCAACTCAACCTGCCTCCTTGACCACGTCGTTCGGGAGTTCAGCACCGAGAGCGTCTCCTCCTGTGGCTCGGCCTGCAATGAGGAGCCTGGATGTCGCTCCTTCAACATCAAGAAAGGCAGAGAGGGGAAAAAACTGTGCCAGCTGAACAACAGCACAAGCTCCGAAGACAAGGACAAGTTTCAAACCATCAGGGATTTCTGTATCTACTCAGAAATTTGCATCGCTTAGATTTTACAGTGATGTAAAAGTGGTCACAATGCTGAAAACAATCTTGATTTGGTTGTTAATCATAATTTTGTTGACTCTTGGTTTTTCACTACAGTCCTAAAGGAGAAGAGAGACTCAGGCGAAAGGATGAGAAATATTTGAAACAGAAAGGGCTTAACTCGAAATGGAAGCAAAAATGCATAGTAGCGTTGGTTTCAATTGTTAACGAAATTTGCAGATATTTCTTCTTCCCGTGTCTGTTTATCGCACTTCAAATCAAATTTCTTATGATGTTATTCATAATGTTACTGCATGTTCACGAGTTTGGAACGTAGCTAAACTTATAAAGTTTTGACATACCTTTTTGGTGGTTGATACTGTTTAAAAAAAATGCTCGAGTCGAGGGTATTTTATTCTGATGCCGTCTGCTTGTAAATTTGCATTAGATTTCTAGAGAAGAATTTCGAAGCGTTTTGTTTTTTTTCCAAATCGGCTCAGTGTGTGACAGACTGGATGTTAAAACTTGCACTTTGTGCTTGATCGGTATTCAGGAAGATGCCATCTTGTCTTTTAATGTTTACCTTTTCGTCAAGCAGCATATTCAGGAAAAAACTAACCATTCGCTCGTTTGTTCCATTACCAATTGGATTCAAGTTTCTTTGGTACAGTGCTGTTGCCCTAGGCCCTCACCATCCTCGTATTAGAATAAGGAAATTCCTCTTCTGTGCAAACAAATGGATTTAACCGTAAAAGAACCGGGGTGGAATCTGTCCCCCCTCACATTTTTCTTTGATATCGCTGCAGTGCAAATGTTCAGGATCTGAGACGTAAGGAATATTTATAGTAACATTTTGCAGTAATTTTGACACACAATTTGTGAAAATAGAAGGGACAGTTGTTGGGAAGGGCAAATTTTTGCGAGACAGGTTAGTTAAAAATATGTATACTTTTCCATCGCAGTACTCAATTCACACTGATTGGCACGCATGAAGTCTTGAACTTCAAATGACTCTAACAACAAAACCAACTTCGCAGTGGCATCCAACTTCGTATCCAACTTAGCAAGATTCAAATAATTACGCACAGCACAGCTGAGAGGGGCAGAATCCGCCCCCTCCTTCCCCAAGCTTCGTTGTGTGATAGAGGCTAAAATAACACGGCTCTAGTTTGAAGGTTAAGTAAGCTGGAATAGGTTCAAGTTAAACAAGTTAACTTTCAGGGAAAATGTGTCGTTCCCTCCCAACCAAATTTCTTTCGGTAGAAAGGTGTAAATAAGCCGTTGCAAAGAGAAGAATTTGATCAAAACGCCCTTATAGGACCCCATTAGCTTTGAATTCAACAAATGTCATTTTCCGAATCGTAAATTTTGAATTGATAACAAAATGCGACCCGTACAGCTTTATTTTCAATCCTGTAATTTTATGATCGCAACGCAGGACTTGAGTTTTAATTTTGTTTTTGATCAGGCAAAACTCACATCAAAACTGACATTATTTTCAAGATATTGGAATAACATCAAATTTGCAATGGTGTCAATAATCTTAATCTTGTTACCCTGGATACACAGCAATAGATCCGCACCTTGTTGCCTTCTAACCAGTAATATATTTATCAATAAATATCGGTGTTGTAGACAGAGAACAACAATCTTGCACCTTTCCCGTAGTTTTCTTTGTGTGGCACCTTCATAGTATCTCAAGTATAAAAGACCAACTCATAACAAGGGGGCATGGCCAACGCATTGGAATTTACACATCATATCCCACCATATTGAATGTACAGGTGTAGTGTAATTTGCAAATGCAACAATAATTGATTTGTTCAGCATTCTTAATTTTTATTTCGATATCATCGCCGGTCTTTCAGTTTTTATCTCTTAATAAGCATAAAGGGCAGTTCTAGCCTGCGAAAGGAGTCATAAGTGGCAATTTAAATGTGATACTGTGCACAGTTAATCACCCTGTCGTTAGCGTTAACAAATAGTCACTGTCAAGGGAGTCAGTTTGAATAAAAGAACAATATCTGTTGTATCACATGACAATGCCTGCCGTTTGGCAGGGCTCGTGTCATTTATCATCTCCCTTAGAATTTAATGTTCACATTGAATTAGCACAGGCAATACGTAGCCATAGGAACGTTATCTTTTATTCGTTGTCCTGATCAAGATTATAATCAGCACAAACTCGGCTTTTTCAGCTGTCTCCTT